TCTGTCCCCCCTGACTCTTTTTCACTTTGATGTTCCTTCCTCTCTGTGAAGCCTGAACCTAATGATAACTAACAAATCGTCTGCCATTTGATATAAATAAATATTCACATTCTCAACGATACTCTGATTCATCGAAATGAACATGATCGAAAGTTTAAATGTTTCACTTAAATTTACATGGAGATAGGAGGTCAACTTGGGTTGTTTTACAAAATTCCGGAACAGCAGGATATCAAGTTGCCTCATGGAGAGCTGTATTTTTTTTTTTGAAAAAATTATCTTGCAGTTCGAAGTGGAACTAAAACTTTCCAAATATCAATAAATGCTTTGACTAGAAATTTAATTGTTGAATTTCATTTAATGGCATTGAATAATCTTCGTGACACTTTAAAGGGAAAATCACCTAAAATATATCGATTTGCAATAATCGTTGATTGATCTATTAGAATATCAAAGCCACCATTTTACTAGAGTTCTAATTGAAATGATTAAAACATACTTTCAAGTTGTCTTAATTTTTTAACTCTTGACTTTTAGAGTCTCCATGCTTTTATGTTTTTTTTTTAAATTATTAATAAATAAATTCCTATGTTAACATTGAAACTGACAAGTGAATTATAAAATATCGAAATTATGTCGATTTGACAGTCAAAATGCTCAAACATGCATGAATTCAGTAGCATGTGCTGACAACAAGACAATAGGTTTCGAACCCTATTTAAATTCTTTAAACATTAAGTTACCATTTTCCTACAGAAGATGTGATTAACTTTGTTTTATTTTAATGTTCCGCAACTTAATTTGCACCATCTCATAGAATATGCAACGAAATTCCGACTCTGTGCATCGATGGCCTTAAAATAACAGTCGGTCACGACATAGTAAAACGTTAAAATCATTCATTTTACAATGTGTATTTGAATTATACATATGTAGGCAAAAGCTTTTTAAGTCCAGCGTCTTTCAGTCTAATACTTTTTTTATTTTATTTGTAATTCTTAAGATAAGGTTAATAAATACGATTTACAACTTTGTTTTTATAATGATAGAATTATGCGTTGAAAAGAACGGACTCACAGTGAGCAATAAACTCAATTGGAAACAGAGTCACCCAAAACAACTCTGATATACGAATATAAAAATCTCTTTCAGCTGCTGCGAGAGAAAAAAAACAGTGGTCCTACAATGGATTCCTGGTCACTGTGGCATTAAAGGCAATGAGCTTGCTGACACACTTGCTAAGAAGGAGACAACGATTTTGCAATGCATGGACCGGCCGATGTCTTTCCACACAATGAAGGCCTTAATCAGGAGAGAATTCCAGACCTCAAAGTGCAACGAACTTAAAGCTCGAACAAAGGAGAAACAGTGGACAGTGGCACTCTCCGATATAGCCGACTGGCCAAGAATCGAATCTGTTGATGAGCTTAGACTACGTACCAGACACGATTGCATGGCAAAACCTCTTCACAGATTGGGAGCATACACTCAACCCACATGCCCTCTATGTAACCTACATGAGGAAATGGAGAAGACCCACCTGATTCGATGTCCAGCTCTAAAGATAACGACGGAAAGCTAATGAACTGTTATTAATTAACTGCTATAAATGTACCCCCCCCCCACCCTTGGGGGAAGCTGAAGTCAAAGTTTAAGGGCTAATGATATATATCACAAAGCCTGCCATTTGAAATAAATAAATGACAAAATTCGAGATTTACAAACGGTTTGAGTTATGGTGCAAAATTTTACCCACGATGAATGATTGAAAGTTTCTTTCTAAACAGGTTCGGGAATTATCCGTTTATTACTATAATGGCACTAGTAAATGGACAAAAGAAACTACCATTGCGGGAATTTCGAATCCGTTTACATAAACATATATTTACTGGGGTCATTAACCTAATACATACAGATTTAGATTGTATAAACATTCTTTTATTAAACATGTTTGAGGAACGGAGGCGTACCTCGTGGAATATAAAGAAATCTCACCTGAAACACAGTTTATGACGGTGAACCTGTCAGTTACCAGGTTGGCAAACTAAAGATGTTTGGAGCTTTGTTCGAATATTTAAGAACTTGGAGGCCAGCTCTTTTTCACACGTGTTTAGAATGGTAATTAATGGACGTCTTGAAATATATCTAAATTATTAATAATGGAGCTTGAAGCATCATGATTGACGAAAAAAGCTGCAAACTTTCGGTCAGTCATAGGTCTTTTGCACCTCGATACGCAATGCTTTAACTTTTGGCACGCATAGTAATGCACGGAAAGAATCAGGAAGATTCAGGAGGGAATATATTTATGCGTAATCGCATTATAATATATATATATATATACGAAGTTGATGGTAAAACTCAGAAAGCTAGGTGAATTCAAGCTTTCATTATTAAAGTACTTCATATTTTCAGATCCCACCATAGGGCACGATTTCTAAGTTTTTGTACAAATTTAGCATATTTTTTGAATTCCTAGAACGGAATATGCAACCCCCACGTTATGAGGATTTTTAATGATCTCATTTGAATGTTTTTGGTGGTAACGGGAGTCAAGTAAATAGAGACAGTAACGTGCTCTGAACACTGTGAGAACAATCTTACTCATTAACTCAAAATTCGCATTATTAAGCCCGTGCTTTATGATATAGGACAGGGCACTATCCCACTCATCTCACCTCAAATGTTCCATAACCCAAATTGGTAAAGATTTTTATCCTAACTTGAATCCTTACCTTTTTTTGACCTCGCTTAAGTCTCATTGGGCAGTTTTCCCTATTCGTACTGTTTTCTTATGGTAAAGTTATGCTTCCCCCGTTTCATGAATGAGAAATTAAATAATCTTCCAAACGATAAAGCTATACACCATACAACTATTTTCAATTTGACTGGTGATTGTTCCGAAATATAACACTAAAATATTGAATAAATCTAAAATTTATTAACTGGTAAAGAATGCCCATTACGGATATTTACGCGATCGTTGACATAAGTGCTGAATAAATAGGTGCATGCCACAGAAAACAAAATTTTCGAATTCCATTAAGCCTGTCATTAAGACCTCAATTGCAGTGCATTACGTTCGTCAAAAACAGAACTTAAAGTTAACACAAGAATTCTTTCTCTTTGTAAGAGAGTAACTTGGAGTCATCCAATCCAGGAGAATGAAAAAACGAATAGAAATCAGAAATGCCACCAGCTATGACGCAGTTAATAGTTTGGCTTATAAAGAGCCGTTAAAAGTAGAAGAGGAATAGAAGATTTACAAAAATTGCAACATGATTTGTCGTTTGTTAAAACAGGAAACGTCTTGTAGCCCCAGCAACACACCGTGAACAATAGAATTTGTATCTTTTCGTAATTTAAGATGTGGTCGAGTGTAATATTGATAATGTCCCTTGCACTGGTATTATGTTTTTTCTATTACTCAATACAAATAATAACGACATTAACACAAACATGGGATAATGCTCAAAGAATCGAAGATAATGTTTTAAATAGGGGGTGTTCAGTGGATAACAAAAAACTCTTCAATTTATTATAATATGGAAATCTAGTTAAATCTTGATCCGCCGTCACATGGATGTGGCTTTTGCCCATTCCAATTAGGAAGATCATATGAATGATGGAAAAAGTAGAGACACCTTCACGGAGTAAATCGTCAGTCTCAGGACAAAGCAAGGACTTGAAACACGTTTGTTGACAAATTCATATTTCCATAGAAACACATATATTCATAATAGTACCTTTATAGCTAAACTACACCGAGTGAAAATCTATAAAATCTATCAAAAATAATTTCAGCTTCAGCATTAGATAAGATCGCTTTTACGACAGATAGTATAAAACTTAAACCAGTAACCAAAGCCCATTCCGATCGATGCCTTACTATTTAGCAGATTTAAAACACGAAATATGATATTCTCCGTTAACAAACGAGATCAAAATGATGTTAATATAATTTTAAAGCAGTAAAATATTTAATGGTTCACTCTTCTTCCAAAATTCGTACTGGTCCCATCATCTGGATATACATTATGGTGTACTCAATTGGCACACTATAAAATGCGCACCTAAACATTCTGGAGTGTGCAGTCGTGCGCGTAGATAATTAACTATTAATGTTTCTCTCAAATTAATTTCGATATATCTGGCGACTTACATGTTTGTCGATAACATAATTTCAATAAATGCTTCACTTGCAACATGGCTTCCTCCTCAATATCGTTGCAATGGTTCGCGTCTGGGAACCTCTTCAAACATTGTAAAATTTGTTAAATAGATTTCTGGGTTTGGTCGAGGCATAGTAGTATCGCCATCCGTTACAATATGCAATAAGGTCAATTTAAATTAATCACATCGTCAGGCCAAAATAAACAAAAGCGCAATCGTTATGTTATAAGCAGTTCAGTCGTAAAGTGGGGTTGTCAAAGTTAAAATACAAAAAATAGTATGCACCAGGCAAAAACAATTGAATAACTAATGAAAGGTTTATCGAAATTATTCCGCCAAAGGTATTCAAACCCGATTTAAGATCTCTTACAATAATGCAATAATGTAAAAATGGTATAAAAATAATTATAGATAAAATCAATTAATTGATTGGGTTTCAATAAAAAGAAACGAAATGGGTGTAACATTGACTGAAGTCCGCAGTTAAAATTACCACAAAGGATATACAATCATTTAATTAGCACTATTCAACTCCCTAGCAGATAAAAAGGGATTATTGATTTAAAAGGGCTTTCACATGAGTATTACTTGGCAAAATTGTAACTTTAAAGAACTAATAAAAATAGAATATAAACTTATTTTTGAAAGAAGCATTATAATTTTTAATTTATATTTACTTATTGCAAGTAGAATATATCCCACATTTCTTTAAATTGGAGAAAAATTCGAAATATTCATTGGCAGATATTTTGCGGGCTTTATTTTACATTTCTCGCTATTAATTTTTCGGAATGCCGTTTTGCAAGGCAATTGTAGCGAAGCCACGCATGGCCGTTAATACCACGGCACCTTCCAAAGGTATCACGATTTTAACTGGAAACTCACATCCTGATCTTGTTAAACGCATTTGCAAGCATCTCAATACCCCCCTATGCAAGTCTGTGACGTCGAAGCATTCCAACGGCGAAACCTATGTTGATATTCAAGAAACTGTCCGAAGTGAGATAAATGTTCGTCTCATTTTGTAATTATTGATAGGTCGGGATGTTTATTTAATTCAAACTGGAGCTGATAAAGTCAATGACGATATAATGGAAATGCTAATTCTGGCTTTTGCATGCAAATCTGCCTGCGCAAGGCGTGTTGTCCTTGTCGTCCCTTATCTTCCATATTGTAAACAGAATAAAATGCGCAAACGTGGTTCAATTCCTTGCAAATTGGTTGCCCAATTGATCTGTTCAGTTGGAATTGACCATGTTATCACAATCGATCTTCATTCAAAAGAAATTCAAGGCTTTTTCGATGTTCCTGTTGATAATCTACGCGCTTCACCATTCTTAATCCGTTATGTTGTTGAAACAATTGCGGATAATCGCAATTGTGTCATCGTTGCTAAGAATCCGAATAGCGTTGCTAGAGCTACTAGCTATGCTGAGCGTCTTCGTGTTTCGTTGGCTGTCATTCATGGTGTTGACCGAGAGGAAACTGAACAAACTGATGGTCGTACTTCACCTCCGCCTATGGAAGGAGAGCTAAAGTAAGTTGTGCTTTGCAGTTTTTGTAAACTCATTGAATGCTTTAATTTTTTGATTTCTTCTTTGAAGAGACTGGGATACAGATGAAATAAATAGTGATTTCATGTCACAAGATGGCGAGATCTTACGTAGGTCGAACATTGAGGCTTCTAGGTAAGTTAAGAACTGGCTTCTAAATAATTAGTTCCCTATTTGGCGTTCTTACTTACATTTCGCTTTGCTTTATTTTGTTACTTTTAATTATACTCCCCCCTCCCCATCTCGACTTGAAGAGATTTGAGACATTTAGGTAATTCATACAAATCATGTGATAGAATACGTCGATCCATTTTATGGTGCTCATTATTATTTTGCATTCGTGGGCGTGTTCAGTTTCCTTCGTATAATTAATTCATTTAGAAGTTTATATATGTTTGCGGTTATTTAGCTTGTGAATGCGTAATTATTTGCATGATTTATCATTCCTTCGTAAAACTTTCGAAACCTATAATGTTAACAACTAGTAGCCTGTGGTATTTTCATTTCCATAAATTGACCAAAATTAGGCCGTATGGTTGGTTATTGGCATCATTGAATATCCTCCTAAGGACACAGTTACACGTTGAAAATGTGTATGACTAATGCGTCACAGGCTTTTAGAAAGTTGGCTGCATAAACAGTTTCATTCAAAATCGCTTGCCTTTTTAATTTTATGAAAGCCTCTCGTTAACTAAACCTTATGTTCTGTATTTTTTGCTTTAATCCTCATTATCTCACGCTTCTATTCGTGATTGCCTCAACTGGCCAATTGGGGGGGGGGGGGGTTGTTCTTTCCAGTATCACATAATTATTGCATGGCAACTTTACTACCGCTTTTCTGCATTAATTCGTACAAGCCAATCACTAATGCACTCACTATATGCTCTTGAATCAATAAATCAATTGGTTGATAAATAAATTTAATTTGCGCTCAACAGTGGCGTTGGTGAAGAAAATGAAACTCCGCTTAATTTGTCTACACCAGTCCGCAGAAAGCGTGAATCTGAATCGGTCAATTCAAGGTAAGGCGATTCATCATCCAAGCTTATCCCCTCCTTAATTATACAATTTGCTCTATATCACTTAGACACTGTAAATCCTGAAACACGGTCTCCTCAACTCTGATTTGGTTACACGCTATCTTCTTAACCTGAAGTGTTCAAGTTGGGAAAATTTTGTTATTACATTATTTAGACTCATAGAGGGTTATAATGCAAGCCCTACTGGGCGCAATCATAGGAATTACTTTCCTTAATTTTTTTCGTTCACTCGCTAATCTTTCCGTAAACTCAGGGTGCGTAGGCACCTTTATTTATTAGGAAGTATGAAAACTGCGTGATTTTTTAGTTTAAAAATGTGCTTCTAGACACTTCAACACCATTTTATCTCACTATCGCTCTGGTGTAGAATTTGGACCTTAAATGTTTGAAATTGACAATTTGGTTTTGACTTTTTTTATCCTGTTCCTTATGTTATTAGTTGACTCGACTTTGTTAATATCTTCAGACAAAGCATCTAAGCTCCAACAGCACAAAGGAGTAATTGAAGTTACGGGGTAGGGGTGGTGCTTCTTTTTTTAATTTTCACCCATTTGTTGCCATTCTAGTGCGATGTAGTCAAGTCGTCTAGTAGGCTATGGCAGACTTCTTTACTTTGCCGGTTTATTTAATAAGACATGGAGGGACTTATGTAAACACGTTCCAAAATGTTTGCACCTGGTGTGTGCAATCGTTTTGTCTTTAACGCTCTCATGCCGGCCAGTGTTTGATGTAAGTTCTTATAACGTCATCTTGTACTGCTTAATACCGGGCACTTTTAAACGTTGAAACCCCAAAACCAATTTAGTATGTTTCGATTTCATCATATAAGTACATTTAACGTCGGTACATCGGAAGATCTCAAGGACGTCGCAATTCTTTATAATTTTCCATTATTATTTTTAAATTTAGATTTATTTTGACAATCTTTCATTCGTCCCATAGAAATTTAAAATCTTATATTAATTTTGCCATTTTCTAGGCGGTATTTTCATTTTCAGGAGTATTATTTCAGTTTACGTGACTCGTATGTCTTAATTGTGCTTAGTTTGCAATTATGCTTTGTTCTTTGACAGCTTTTAATTGTTAAGCATTGCCAATCTTCGTTTCAATTTTACGGTCACATTGACGTAAAAATGAATCAATTTGTTTTTCTTGTTTTGCACAGTAGTGGACTCGAGCCTGAACCGCTTACTTCACCCTTCGTACACAATATGCTTGGGTTCCTGCCAGCTTTGCAGGAGAAGGAAAAGCCCCCACTCAATCTGGTGGGCAACGTGTTGGGCAAGATTGCGATCATTGTGGATGACATTGTTGAGGATGTCGATGATTACGTGACCGCGGCGGAACTTCTTCACTCTCGTGGTGCTTACAAGGTGAGTTTGACCACTGGTATTGATTTAATTTCGCCTTTATTAAAGTCATAGTGGAGTAGCTTGCTCATTAAATATGGTAGTTGTCGTGGTCGTTCTCATTGGACAAAACAATTTCGAATTTTATCTTTTGGTTGATACTCTTTCTTGCACCTTGTAAATATACTCACGGGATTGTCAATTAACTCTTAACACGTACGATATGACCCACCGGTTGATTGGTTGGTTGATTTCCACGGGTAGTGATTTATAAAAATAGCACCTCATTTTTAAAGGAACACCAAAAGTTGGTATTATTGCTATTTTCAGCAGTCATTGTTGATGATATAATATAAAGGCTTTATTGCATGAATGTGTAGAGTACACACAATCTCCCACTTCGATATCTCCTTTTTAAAGGTGCTCGTATGATATGCCACTGTTGTCATGTTTTCATTTTTACTCAGAGTAAAGGATATCACTCCAAGTTGATGCTAAATATTAAACTGGAAGCGAAGAGTAAATTTTCTTTTTCTATAAATTATTGCCTAGTAACGAATTTGCGAAGTCACACTAGACTCTGAATTTTATTTCACTCTTTAAATTCGTGCGCAATTTGTAAAATTATTTAATCGTCAACTTTATCAGTGGAACGGCCTGAAAATCATTTCTGTTTATTGGTCGAGATAATTAAATAAATATGCAAGGAATCCTAAATGTGGCCTTAAAGTTTAAGGTATGTAAATAAATGACTAATATGGATGTAAGGTAAATATAGCTCTTACAAATGCCGCAAATGTCATTTCCCACTGTAAATCAATATTTTAACTTTGATATTCATTTAAAATATTATTTCAAAAGGCGGGCTTTATTATATTTATCATTAGTTCTTAAACTTTGACTTCAGCTTCCCCCAAGGGTGGGGGGGGGGGTACATATATAGCAGTTAATTAATAGCAGTTCATTAGCCGTCTTCTTGCTTCCCAGTATCTCTGGATTTCCGTCGTTACCTTTAGAGCTGGACATCAAATCAGGTGGGTCTTCTCCGTTTCCTCATGTAGGTTACATAGAGGGCATGTGGGTTGAGTTTACTCATTTTGCCATGCAATCGTGCCCGGTACTTAGTTTAAACTCAGCAACGGCTTCGATTCATGGCGGAGAGTGCCACTGTCCACTGTTTCTCCTTTGTTCGAATTTTAAGTTCGTTGCACCTTGAGGTCTGGAATTCTCTCCTGATTAAGACCTTCATTGTGTGGAAAGACATCGGCCGGTCCATGCATTGCAAAATCGTTGTCCCCTTCTTAGCAAGTGTGTCAGCAAGCTCATTGCCTTTAATGCCACAGTGACCAGGAATCCATTGTAGGACCACTGTTTTGTTTTTCTCTCAGCAGCTCATAGAGTTTTCTACATTCCTTTATCTCGCCTGTTTTGGGTGGCTCTCTGCTTCCAATTGAGTTTTTTGCTGATTGTGAATCCGAAAGTATCACTGCTTTGGTGAATTTCGTATCCAGGCAACATAATTGGCATAGTGCTATCCTAATGGCCTCTATTTCTCCTTCGAAAGCGGATCTATTGTGTCCCGCTTCTGCGTAGAAAGAGAAGAGTTTAGAATAGACACCTGTACTAACGTTTGCTTGGTTTTCTATGTATGATCCATCAGTGAAGACTTGGAGCCAGTGAGCGCATTTGCTCTACTTTTAAATTTTTGTGCGTTTATTTCTCATACATCTTTCGCTAAAAGTACTTCTTTTGACGCGCATTCCAAGCTTTTATGCTCCAATCTGTTGTTCCACGCGGTTGCTGTTATTGAAGTCCTTTTTAAAAATTACCTGGTACTAAAAGATTTAAGTAATATTTCTATTTCAATATGACTATTCAATAAATCCACCACTAAACCCTGAGTGATTTAAAGACTCGAACCGTTTCCTTCTCAAATATTTACCCCTCGTTTGCATCTCACATATTCATAATTTATTTATCATCTGCCTATATGCTGGCAAAGTTGCCTACACATATGAGCAAGTATAGTTAAGACATTGATTGCACAATTGCGGGAATATAATTGATATTTTTGTATTTGTCTCAATTTCTCGTTTCCTATGATCACTACTTGATAGTCCAGCAAAGTGATGAACAATGAATTGATGTCTCTGATGGCACTCTTTCCTCTAACCCACGAATTAATGGTTCTTCTATATCGATGGTTGTTGTTGTGTTTAAAATCCTGCCTTGACTTCATCCTTCTTCCTTCAACCTGTTTTATGCAAACATATCTATGGACTGATATCTATTAGGTTGTAGGATTCCCTTATTAATAACTTTTGTGTGGCAGGTGGCGTTGTTGGGCTTATGCTAACAGAGGGAAAGATATTAGCCGCCATGTGTTTTCGAAGCATTTCTGCATGGGTTTTTAGCATTCCTATTCTTACGCGTTTATTAATTGTCTGCTGAGATTAAGGGGCTTTTCCGCTTAATTATATCCTATTGGTAGGTGTTCTAGGCCTGAGTTTGGTAACTGCAGTACTTTATCCCTTTATTATCTTGCCCGCTAATTATTCCTTACGCTATAGTTGTAAGTTTGTGCACTTTTGGCAAACAGGATTCACTAGCTGCATTCTTTTAATATGGTTTTATACGTTATGTTTGGTATTTTTAAGGCAGTTATGCTGTGAGACAGATGTGTATGAAAGACTGTATATGAAAAATTTAAAACTTTGTGAAGAGGTTTACGTGGAGGTTTTTTTTATCTATTTGCAACCAAGAGTGAGAAAGTTTTATTGATGAGCTAATATCGTATTACCAAGATCAGGATTGTAGTCAGATTGCTTAAATGACAGCGCTGTTGGTACGCCTCACTGCACCAATGATCCGGAATGGGCTTTATGTCCACTTTAGGAAATATATTAATTACCTGGGAACGCTTGAAGTTGCATGAAAATTAGTTGGGGGATATAGCCAGTTTTGTGGGTGAATTATGAGGAAAGTGTATTGGGATTTTTTTTCCAAATGGGGACTATGATTCGATATCAAAGAGGTATGGCGGCCAATCAATATATGAGTGTATATTTGCACTCTATTTTTTTTAATTTTGCAAGAAGAGCTATGCTGATACTAGTAACTGGATTACTTAGTACGTAGGATCATGCCAAGTGATTTCCAGAGGTCAATTGAAAATTTGGCGAAATTTTTTGCCGTCAAATGAAAAATCACAGAGGAAGATTATCATGGCATAATGCTGCGTTAATTTTTTCGACATGCGCGTAAATTAAGGTAAGCCTCCTAACTGTGATAAACTCGGACTCTAAAAGTGCATTCATTTCCATTTGATTACCATTACGCTCACCTGTTAGTTCCCACGACTCGTCATTTCTGTAATATAAGTTACCATCTGCATATTTGATTCGGGGCTATTATTTCCCTTTTCTTTAAATGTTACCTCTTTCCTGCATAGTTATTTTTATACTAGGTTATCAGTGGCTGGGAATTTATTCCTTTCTGCCTGTTAATTCCGTCAAGTTAGATTAAGAGCCAGTGATTTAAATCAAGTTTTTCGGTACAACTGAAAAAAAGTTGTCTTTTTTATCCTCATTTATGTTGTATTATTCTAGCTGAGTTATCTTTCGAGGTGATTGGAGTTAAGCCGGGCTTAATGGACACGGAAAGTAGTCGTGTCGATCCTATAACTCTTTTATCATCATTTAACCACTGCATTAGTTGTTGTGTGAGCTGGTCCTGCTACGGTTACGAGAATAATAAAAGCTGATTTTATTATCTTCCTGGTGGGATATTTCCTCCTAGCACTGGGTCAAGAGATCATTAGTCTGCTCGCCTAAAATTTGACATTTCTATTCGTTACCCCTCTTCGCTATTCAATGTTGTTTAATCAAGTCGGATTAAAATGTTACTGAGTTCATACTGCTAATTTCAGCATATCTAATCATTTTAATATCGGGTTTAAAAAGTTCCTCTTTTAATTTTATAAAAATAAAAGCAAAGTTTAATGCTGGCAAAAAAATTAATGAACTCTTTTCTCCTCTCCCACGCACCATAAATTGTGGCTTTTCCTTTTTTCCCTTTGAAATTTATCTCTTTGACACATGCAATGTGTCCCCAATCAAGGCAATTTCATTTATTTGTGGAATTATGTGTATGCTACTTCACCCCCCTGTTACGCTTTAATTTCGAATCAACCGTTAAAAGTTCAAACAATTTGATCCTAAATTTACAGGAATAGTAGTGTAGAGGCTTTATTAGTCTGTTCACTTAAAAGTTCATACACGTACGAATGTATCTAATTTCGAATGTAGCGAATTTTTCTTCTTTCTCCTGTGTAGTACAGAGCTAACAACGCCTTCCCCTCCCCCACAACTTATCGCCAATATATTTTATCCTCAAAAGAGTATGAGAGGCTATAATTAGCGCGCTCGCTCAATTATAGCACATGAGTCATTTTATTTGCGTGACATCCTTTTGCTGTAAAATGCTAAAGTCCTTAGAATTTAGAAGTGCTGTAGTGAATCGTCTTGCTTATCTTACAACTTTCCACATAGGCTACGTCAATTGGCACGAGCCTTACCCCCGAATAATTGAAGAAGTCAATGGAAAAGATGGAAAGGTCAAAGGACGAAGTTTGCACTCGGGGTTTCTGTGGCATATAGGAGATCATGCAATTGACGTGTGCCGGTGAAAATTTTGCTATACGTAGATCCAACGCTTTTGGTGAATGCTAGACGACAATTCCTGTAATTCCAAGAGAACTTTTGTCTGCTCACTTTCCTTTTTGATATTACGAAATTTACGAGTAATACCAAGTTTCATTATCGCGTGACATTTTGATGAATGCTTGTCTACTAGAATGGTTTAATAACTTATGAAATAACTAGAGTAGGTGATTATAAGCGCAATGGACAAATTCGCCTTTTCTTATTTAATGCAAATTGTAAAAAACTGATTTATACTCCAAACTCGATGCAATTTTGTTAAGGAGTGATTTTTAACACTTATTTTCGGTGGAATGACAACATTAGGTCTTAAAACTGCACCTTCCGAACAGTTTCAATTGATGTTACCATCATTTTCCTCTCTGAGTTTACCTTGCCTATCATTTTTGATTGCGCATCTAACGCTCTTTCCTCTCCTTCTCGTTAATTTATTTATATCAAATGGCAGGCGTTTTGGTAGTTACCACTAGCCCTTTAGTTGACTTCTGGCTTCACAGATGGGAGGAGGAACATCGGAGTGAAAAAAGTCGAGAGAGGGGGATGAAATAGAAGAGTATTTCAAAGATGTAAAAGAGTCAGACAAAGGTAGAGAAAAAGGTAAGGTGAGATGAGCAAATGTGACATACGGTGGGGTCATGGTAGTTTGAAGTCAGAAGTCAACAGGCGGTTTATTGACTTTTTTGCCGTATGAGTATACGTTGCCCAGGGTGCACCACGTGGAGGTAAGTCTATCGCACACCTCCCTTCTCGTTAATTTAATCCCAGCTTACTGAGAGCTATTCACGAGTATCTCTCTTGGCCATCTGACTGGCGTGGCGTCGTACGTTTTTGTTCATTACTCTTTCCTTCCCATTTTGTAATTTACACCATTATGTGTGCAACAGGATCATTTGCGAGTTTATTGTTAATTAACTATTAGTAAATGGAGCCATCAAACTGTGAATGCATTACTATGAAACGGCGCCCATTTTTTTGCGTGTGTAATAATGGCATCAATCCATTCAAACGAAATGCTTCCTCTCTCTCCTACTCTCTCACTCCCAATGCACAGCACTAATAAACTATCGTTTGTCAGTTTGCGACACTTCGTTGAAGGGCTTTTGCGATCATAATCTCACCTTTCCATTAGGAGAGCAGGTTCTCTGTCAAATTAGAGAATTGTGATTTGTAATTCTCTAGAGGAGAATCCAATTCAACAACTGTCGCAAAAAAACCGTGGTGTTTAACGAAACTATCGTATATTATGCGAGATTCGATAATCGACGTGCTTCCAGCAATTCGTATAGGCTTGCCGTTTTACGAATATTGTTGATGGGAGTGATTGTGGTTAGGGTGCCCCTGCTTGTAGTTAGAATTCAACAAATAACTGAAATGTGTCCATCACTACATCTGTGTTTATCAGTGAGTGTCAGATTTGTTGCTTCTAACTTTGCAATCATATCTCGTTATTGATAATTAGGACTTCCTGTGGGGGGGGGGGAGTGAGTAGGGATTGCAGTGTTCGTCTTAAGTTACTTTTTTGTACTTTTAATATTTCTACTTTGCATGCCGAGGCAAAATTTATTTTTTGGAAGACATGGCATCTGCTTGAAAAATGTCGGAAAAATTCCCTCAGTTTCTCTATGGTTTAGAATAATATACTTTGGTATCAATCTTGGAAAATATTTCCTATATTTTGAGATTTGGAAATAAAAAATATACCTTCTCAGTATCGTATAGCTTGGATTGAGAGAAGAGCTGAAGTTTTCAGATTCTGGATCTGATATGCGACTCCTTTTCATCTTAAGTGGGGTTGACTTTTGTGTACATAAGTCTGTCATTGTTGTGTGAAAATGTCTATTTTATTCTGTTAGTTCATGAATGTGTTTTCGAATAGACGATATAGTAGGTTTCATCTCAATCTTCATAGTGCTTTAAACATTTGTTATTTCTACTTGTGGATTTTATTTGGATTATTAAGTATTTGCGATTTGATTTCCTAAAATTTGAAGGAGATATCGAGATAATTCACGAAGTCCAAACGTCCAAATTCGTTATTGTTATTTTTTATCTTGTTTTCTCGAATCATCGGAAAAATCGCTATGCTGCCGGCAATTCGTCCCATTGTTCTTCATCTCTCTTCCTCGTGCCGATTCACTTGCGTGACTGGACTGGAAACGATTTGTTTTTTTTTCAAATTTTTCTCTTTAGATTTACTCCGTTCTCTTTGTTCTGTGAATACGTATGCCTGGTGGTCTTATTCTTATTATCATTGGATTTTGGGCACTTCAATGGGAGTTTTATTCCACTGTGTTTTCTAGATAATTGGCAAATGTTGTGCACACTTTTAATCAGCACCGATATTTTACCCAATTTAACCAAAAGACCGTTTTTTGCCATTCGGACGTTAGAATTCATCGTCTCCAATAGGTTAATTGATAAGGAATAAAAGGCTAATTAGAAATTAAATTTCTACTTAGGTTACCATAAGGAATCTTTGGCCTTAACAACTCCACCACTTGGTATTTTTTAATTTTCCAATCGAGGTGGGGGGGGGGATGGAATTAACAATAGATGCTGCTGGCTTTCAAGAGTAAAAATTTACACGTATTCGAGTTTTATTAATTTCGCGTTTCACAGCCCATCTAAATTCACTTGGATTCCCAATCAATGCTTCCATCCGTTTGGAAAACTTGTGCTTGTCAATTTGCGTTTAATCTTATAATAATAATAATATCCGATCGCTTATTCTCTTCCAGGTCTACCTGATTGCTACCCATGGTCTTTTGACTAACAACGCTTCTGAGAAGCTTGAAAACAGCTACTTCGACGAGGTTGTTGTCACAAACACAGTCCCACACGACGTTCAAAAGATGAAATGTCACAAAATTCGCACTGTTGACATCTCACCTCTGCTTGCTGAAGCTATTCGACGTATTCATAATGGGGAATCAATGTCCTACCTTTTCATGAATGTCTCCAAGAAGGACTAAATGGGCGACGGTTGAGGGAATACAACTTTTCGTGTCAAACTCTCATTTCATAAATCCAAATCTTCAC